AGTACAATATTGTATAACTGTATTAATTCAACTGTAAACCTAAAAATTTAAGCCAACTTTGAAAGAGATGCATCTTAACTCAGGAAATTGTTATTGAATATGTCAATGCTGTTGTAATGAAATGCTTCTTCTAATTATGTGGTTATTAAATAATTTTAAAAAGCAGTTTGTATAGGTACTAAAATATTTAAAATTTCTTTGTGCCTCACTTTATCAATGCATTTATTGGGCATAAATATATATATATACATATATAATAGGACCTTTTCTCGGTGTATTTGATAAATCTAACACCTATTACAATTCTGAACCAAATAGCCATGAAAGATGCGTTACTAAATTCAAGTGTAAGACTCCTTATTCTCCCCTGAACTTGGGTTTTTATTACACCAAAAAAGGTACATCACTTTATCAAATGCTGACTCTATAATGAAGAACAAACTAACCTGTTCACTCTGAATGACCTGGCAAATACAAGGTTTACAGAATACATGTGCACAATGTGTTATCACAGGCAGTGTTAAAGAATCCAAGCAGATTGCACACTCTTCATCAGAACCTGAGCTCAGAATTAACTTCATCTTCCCTATTAACTTCTTTCTCAGTTCTTCTGGTGTATCATTGCCTAAAAAAATAAAAGGCTGAAAATTAATTTCAGAACAAAACTTGTAGCTAGACTAGTTATAAGGAAAAGTTTGATGAATAGTGTATTTCATCTTTCTTCTGTCATTTGCAAAAGCAGGGCATAAATTTGGAATTTTAAGAAAAATTCAGATGAAATAACAGCTAATTCACATAATATACCTTACAAAGAAGCATCATAATATCTTCCCACACTAGCACAAAGTACAAGGCAGGTCCAATTTGACTTTTCATCTAAGGGTGTTTATCATTAGAAATCCTGTGAAGACCACATTGATTTCATTCATTAAAAAATTCTTAACTGAAATGATGTGTAAAAAAACCACAGACCAAATTCAAGCCATATAAAAATTTGTCCTGATTTAATATCTAGCAAATGTAATAGTAAGAAACAATCATATTTCCTTACCGGAGAGACTACTTGAAGATACTGCACTTGTAAGAAGTTGAGTGTGACAACAAATCTGCCGCAATCTAAGCAAAAGACCCAAGACATCCGCATAGTGTGCAAGGACAGTCCCTTCAGTAAAATACCTAGAGATAAAAATGGCAAGCATCATGAATTCCCTAACAACTTCTCTGGTCATCATTTCAAAACAATAAAAACAAAAGCAAGCACCTTTCTAACGACTGAAGAGATCTGCCCATGAATAGTGGATGCCAACAGCAATACAAGTCAGATAGGAAAGCACTAATGACTGAAGAGATCTGCCCATGAATAGTGGATGCCAATAGCAATACGAGTCAGATAGGAAAGCACTGTTTGACTAAAAACAAAAGCAAGCACCTTTCTAACGACTGAAGAGATCTGCCCATGAATAACGGATGCCAACAGCAATACGAGTCAGATAGGAAAGCACTGTTTGACCACAAATCCAACCAGTGCTTCACAGTAAAAGGCACATACCGAAGGGAAGATTAGCATCTTTCATATACAAAAACAGAAACAGGGTCAGTGCACAGTGACACGAACTTTCCCAGTCCAATTTACAACAGCAAAGAAGAAAGGCATGCTGAATGAGAAAACAGATGGGTGTACTTTTGTTTTACTGGGGGAGGGCGAGGGAGATACGGACATAGTGTTTATCTTTAACAACTATAATGCTTCCGGTTTCTGCTGTATAAACACCAATAAAACCTAGACGAACGTACATTTAACCCTTTGAATAAGAAAACTGGGAATTTCTTTGTGGCTTGGGACATAGCTAGGACCATTATATGAATCTGACAAATTGCCAGTCCGGAAAGAACTCAAGATATTAAAATATTAAATAATCAGCACAGAGCAAGATACAAAGCGAAAACTCACCAGAAAAATGTCCCCAGTGAATAAACAAAAATTATTACATATGTCATCACTCAGTAAAACAATTCCTACTAAAAAATAAATTTATGGAAAAGATAGAGCTTTTATAAGATGTATAAAAGATGAAAAGATGAGCACATACAGCCTGAGAAACATAAAAAAGCAATGTAAGGGGCTTGCCGAGATGACTCGCGGTTAAGAACACTGACTGTTCTTCCAAAAGACCCAGGTTTGAATCCCAGCACCCACATGGCAGCTAACAACTGTCCATAACTCCAGTTCCAGGAGATCCGACAGCCTCCTCTCCCTCCGAGGGCATTGCACAACATAGGTGCACTTACCTACATGCAGGCAATACATACATACATTTAAAATAAAAATATGTTAAAAAGAAAAAAGTAATGTAAACCACCAGAGAAGACAGTCACCTAAAACCACTGAAACAAGGTTAAAAAGACTAGCTATTAATGAAACCACAGGAAAGCGAATGGAAAAAAAGAATTCAGAAAACAAAAATTGAAGTTATAAAAGATTACAAACAAAATAATGCCTATAAAAAGCAGACAAAAGACATCTAATACAGAAAGAAAATAGAACAAAAAAAGCATTAAAGGGCATTTTGTTTTTGGTCTTTTTGAGACAGGGTCTCCCTGTAGCCCCAGCTGTCCTGGAACTCACTATGTAGACCAGGCTGGCCTTGAACTCACAGAGATCCACCTGCCTCTGCCTCCCAAGTGCTGGGATTAAAGGCGTGTGCCACCACACCCAGCAAAAGGGCATTTTTTTCAAAAAGGGAGGTTAAAGAAAAAAGCATACATATAACAACAAAGATTTGAATGGTGCTACACAGTCTAGGAAGTCAACTGAAAGGTCCTGGTCAGATTATTGGATTTGCTTGGATAGGACAGGGGTTTAATATTTAATATTAAATTAATATTACTTAATATTAATCATAAGCTTCTTAGGATTTAAATACCAAACCTTAGGTCTCTAGCTGGTGGAGCGAGTTCAGAGGTTCTAGAAACTTTAGGAGGTGGAGTCTAGTTAGAGGAAATAGGTCCTTATTGGGTATGTCTTGTCCTGGCCCTTTCTAGTAGTCTCTTGTTTGCTTCTTGTCTATCATGATATAAACTGTTCTGTTCTATGTCATCCCCACCATAACAACTGTGTGTCACCTGTGTTAGCTTCTTAATCTAAAAAATGTAAGGTCATGGTACTGAATTAATAAGATCCCTGTTAATACAATATTTAAACACTTAAATCAAATATACACCTAGTGACTGCCTAACAAATATTAATAAATGCATTACGTATTAAAGGCTACTTAGACATTGACAGTAACTTTTGGTCCACTGTCACAGTTTCATATAATGGTCTCTCAGGGCCTGTGTGCAGAGAAACTAATCCTGACACATATTGTTTGGCATCAGTGGGTCTCTGAAGCCTTGGAACAAGCTTCCATGAGGCTTTCACTCTTGCATCATTCTTTGCTGTAAAATGAGTACCACAAACAATGCTGCCATGTTTTGCTGCCACATGAGATGTAGCCTGGCCTTATTGCATTGGCCTGTGTGTCTTCCAGGATGACCATGAAGAAGCACTTGCCTAGGTGGTCCTGATTACCCCTAGAAGGGAAACTCTTTAGTGACATTTGAGTTCAGTCTGTCTTTCAAATGAAGTTGAATTTCCACAAGATGGAACGCCCCAGGTTTCTGTCCTATTGTGGCAAGAGGTTTCTCTTTAATGGGGATAATCTCTTCAAAAATTATAGCTACTTTCTCAGCACCTGCTTTGTCTATAACTTTAAACTTGCTCATGGCTCTTTAGCTCAGCAAATTACACATTTTTAAATATCTTTTTGTCCCACTTGTTGCTCTTTTTTCCTGTCTGAATACTACTACTTGAAATTTCCTCAGCCAAACAAATTCATTTACCACCTTTTAATTCATTTATTTTCTCAGGATACAGACAGAATACAGGCTGATTCTTTGCCAGAAGGTAACACAAATGATCTCTGGCCCAGTATAATGGTTAATTTCATTTGTCAACTTGATTGAGATAGGCCTCTGGGCATGTCTATGGGTTAGTACCTTGATTAGGTTAAGCTAAGTGAAAGAAAAGCCCACTATGGAATCCCAGACTGTATAAAGGGAAAGGGAGCTGAACACAAGCATTCATCACTCTGCTAATTCAATGTGCCCAGTTGTCAAAGCTGCTGCCACTGCTGTGACTTCCTTGCAATGATGATGGACTATAATCTCCCACTGTGAGCCAAAATACTTTCTCCCTTAAGTTGCTTTTGCATTGGATTTTATTGCAGGAACAGGAAGAAATAGGACAACCAGTTACTAAGAGAGTCATTGTTCCCCTCTGAAATCACATGAGCTAGGCCTACACTGTCTAAGTTTCTTTCAGCATTTTTATCTCCAAACTCAAGCCCACTAATCTCTGCTTATATAATTCTAGGGCTTTTCTGGCCTACTATTCTAAACTCTTTCACAATCTCCTCACAAACAAAAGCCTACAAACTACACAGTCAGGTTTATCACTACCAACGGCCTTTTGGTACCAATTTTCTCTATAAGATACTTTTCTTGTTGCTGTGCCCAAATACCTGTCAAGAAGCAACTTCACATCAGTGAACTGTGAGGCCAGAGTATCTGTACAGTAAGATGGTAAAAGTTGAGGAAAATAAACTGGATTTGCAACCACCTTTAAAAAGTACTGTTTTTATAGGGAGGGATGGTACTCTATGTAGTATTGTAAGCACATGAAATAAGTCAGCATAAAAGTGTGGAAATCTAAGAATGAAAAATGAAATGAAAGCCCATCATGGTGGTGCATGCCTTTAACCTCAGCACTCAGGATGCAGAGATCAAAGCCAGTCTGGAATGGTCTACAAAGCAAGCTCCAGGCCAGCTGGGGCTACAATAAGAGCCTATCTCAAAACAAACAAACAAACAAACAAATAAATAAATAAATAAATAAATGATGGAGGTTTAAAGGGCTTAGTAATTAGTAGAAGGTGAATAATTCAAGCAAAAGCAGATTTGGTATGAATGCACATAGGGATTTGAATGGATATAAGACAGAAGACAACCAAAAAGAGAGACTCATCAAAACATACAAACGTTAATGAGGGAGACGAAAAGCAGATTTGGTAACAATTACATGAGGAAAGAAAGATTTCAGAGTTCCAACTATTAGCAACATTAATTGAAATTTCTTTTAAAATTATTTCAGCCAAAACTTACTAGTACTTACATATGCCAGACAAATACATGTGTATTAGGCTATAGATTAAAGCCAGTTTATATTTTCAATAAGATGAAACAAGCATTTTAAAAGCATGATTAAATTTTATGAGAAAAGAGTAGAGGGAAGGAATAGGAGTTGTGAAAACTGTGTAAGATAGAGAAGACCTCTATAAGGTGCTATACAAAGAAGCAAAAGAGATTGAGGTGTACAGCATTTCAATAGAAAGCAAGCACAGAAGCCTAAGACGGGTGAATCTCCCTGCCCCACCCACGTTGTATGTGTGTGTTATGTGTGTGCGTGCATTTCTCCATATCTTTTACTGACTTCCATGACAGTCAGAAATGAATGCAAGCAAGGTCCTCTAAATACCAATTTAGGAATTGATTATTTTATGTTAACTTTAAAAATTTTTTAAAATTTTTAATAACTATATGATTAGAAGAAGCATTTCACTACAGCTTTAACATATTCAGTAACACACTCCAGAGAAAGAGTACATCTCTTTCACAAGAGGCTGTAAGTTTCTAGGTTCGCAGTTGAATTAATACAGTTATACAATATTGAACTCAGTAGAAGCCCTGTTAGACATAAAATTGAATGAGTTAAGCAATAAAAAAGATCTCCATTTCGTTTTAGAATATATTGTTCCTTGCAGAAAGACTCCTTGTTTCTGCTGCTAACACTGAGATGTTGGCACATGCATCTCTAATCTGTATGTATCTGACTATTACTAGCCATAATCAGTTGCACTTGGATCCTTGGCGCCTGTGTATGTCTATAAAGTCATCGGGTAGATTTCACTGGTAATGTTTATCACCTCTACTAATTAACATGATGTAAATTTCCATGCTTCCTCCTCAAATATAAATGTTTTTAAAAACTTGATTTTGTGTGTGTGTGTGTATACCACACAGAACATCCCAAACCATCTTATTCAATGTTTATACACCCACTTCCTAGATGGCACCCTTCCATAGCCTCCCTCCCCCCGCTAGAGCCCTTATATATACCTGCTACTGTCTGCTGTGTTGACGGCACCCCCAGCCCTTCCCCACTACTTGCCCTTCTGGTGAATCTAGTCAGCCTATCTAGAGGTCTTTGTTTTAGGAAGGTCAGCTGTTCATCATCTAGCAGTAATCAGTTGTCAATATTCTTTAGATAAGATTGGGATCTGCTGTTCTTTTTCCCAGTTCTATGCTGGGTTACTGTCTGGGAGACACTTGGGCTGCCCTGGCCAACAACTCAAAAGAAGGTATCTTCTATCTGGCATTGTTGCTTGTTATGTAGCCTATAGCTATACATATGGACTCTTAAAAATTATATTGGCCCCTTTAATCTTTGGTTATACTTTCCTTTTGGGTGTTTAAGGCCATACAGTTGGCCCAGATAAACCAATTTATTTTCACTCTTAAGGTCGTCTGAGGATCTGTTCCTCAGGAGTCACATGGGCTTGGGAGGAGCCCGTGGCTCCTTTCTTTTACCCGTTCTGCCTATGTGAAGATAAGTCAAAGGTCCTGCTCGACCATGGTTGGCTTTGCTTGGAAGCATGGAAGAAATGATTCCTCTGTGTTGACCCTCTTCTTTGTAGACTGGACACTGGTACAAGTCCATCTGGTGGGGTCTCCTGGGCCTCCTTGATCAAGAGGACAGGTGACCCACCACCATTATAGGACATTTTGAGAGATGCTCATAGTCCCCTGGAACTAGTCAACCCAGGAGTGCACTTTAAATTTTTTACAGGCCTAAGAAATTATCTGATGAATTATGCTATTATTTCATTCATTTCAACTATTATTTTCTTTCAAAGATTTAAGCATAAATCACAGGAAAAAAATATCTTTCAATATACTTGAGGCTTTATAGCTAATGTGTCTAAAAACTACAATTCAGTTAATGAGAAACAAACAAAACCTCAAAATTGTAAGCTGGCTTTCTCTTTCCTTACCTTCCAATAGTAGCTTTGCCTTCATTTTTCACAGACTGATAAATCTTTCTCTCTTCTTCTGAAAGTGTAATGTGCTGAATAAACACTTTTCGTTCTGGTAACTCCAAAACAGGTTTACCTTTGATTCTGCTTGTCTTTGTTCTTCTAAGTGTGATATTTTTGATTAGAGACTGTAAACGCCTAGTCAGAGTAAAAAAATAATGTAACTTTTATTTCTAAATAAACTGATCAAATAGGAACAAAATATTTTATTATTGCTTTATCATTTTTTATCATTTTAATAAAGGTTTAAAAATCCTTTTAGTTTTTTATCCAATCTGATAATCAAAAAAATATTCTACAAGTAAAAAATTATTACAAAAAAAGCAATAAAATTTCCCCTCAACTAAATAATCTTACATTCTGTCCTGATTTTTCTAAAGCTCTTTCATTTTTGCCCTCATCCTTAACACTTTTCTCAGCTATATTACCAACAACATTCAACCCACAATATTGGAATTCTTACTAAGTATCTAATAAGTTCAAGGCACTTTATTAAATGCTGTTAGGAGTACAAATATAAGAAACAACCTATCATCTGTAATCCAAAATAAGGTTTCTCCTCATCAATTAAAAAAATCCTATCTTCTGCAATATGAAAATTAAAGATCTACTATGAAAATCAAATAAATTTTATAAGGTAATGAGTACCTTAAAAAATAAAACCACGAGAATTCAAAAGAGGAAAAAATGCCTTCTTGGCTCTACAGTATTTCCAATTCATTCTCAGTGTCATATTTCTTATCAGTTAAGAAAACATTCTCCATAATAATGAAATACACAATTCTTAACCTGGGTTCAAAGAGTACAAACAGTTCTGAGGAATCATGTGACCAGTTCTGCTAACTAGGATAGCGACTTAAAATTTCAAGCTTTTTCACTGTAACTCACAATAAGCAGCATATTTTACTGCATTCAGCAAATTCCCCTAACAAAGTGTTTCAGGATACACATTATTTACACCCACTATGTATAATGTACTCTGGTATTTTCTTATCAACCCTATTCTATTTCCACTCCATTTTTCAATGCTGACTTCCAGCTTTGTAAAGATTTTTTAACCCACTAATGGGCCTTAAAACCCTCTGTTTAGAAAATCGCTGCTCTAGAAAAAACAAAACAAAACAAAACCTGAATCACAAAAATCACAAAATGCCTATTGGTGATTTCCATTTATGCTTTTAACTTCCATCTGTGGTCACCAAAAACAATCACGTGAAGTTCTCATTAAAACTTTTGTGGAGATCACAGTATACTATACATGCATCAAATGCTACTAAAAAAGCTATTTAAAATATGAAATTTTAAAGTATATTATGTCATCAAAGGATACTAGTTGTTCCTACCACAGCTGACCCTGGTTAAGGGTGGCTCTGAGAATAACAGCAGCACACAGAGACCACAAAGCTCTTACTTTCCTTTCAGTTTTGTTATAACAGGAAAAAGTAGATACTGGTAGAAAGAAATCTTTCAACTCCCCAGGCAGAAATTGCCAGGTTCTGTTTGCACTGGCACTGAAAGGTGCATGCTATGTGGAAACTGCTATGTGGAAACTAAAGTGAAGAACTAAGTAGAGATATTAATGCAAGTGGCAATTGGTCTCACTAATCGTAGCTAACAGATCAGCTTTATGAACTCACTTACCTCAGTCCCCCCTCGTCGCCCACTGTGACAGGACGCTGTATTGTTCTATGCCACCATTCTCTATCAAGAAATGGTCTGAGTTTCAAGAAGGACAGAAGAGACCACAAGTCCTTTAAAGAGTTCTGGATGGGAGTACCTAAAATTAATGGGAAACCATTGAACTATTCTTATAATTTATTTTGTGGTGCTGGGGACCTGCAAAGCTGGGATCTCACAAATCAGGCAAGCATTGAACCACTGAGTTGCATACCCAGCTCTTGTTATAGCTCTTTTACCAGAGTATTTTAATAAGAATATCCACCTGACCCAATCAGACAAAAAATAGTTGAAAATGGAAAGCCAGGCAGATCTCTGTGAGTTCAAAGCTAGCCTGGTCTATAATAGTGAGTTTCAGGCCAGCTGTGCTGGGGGCTACAGGGATGGCTTCTGAAGAATGACACCTGAGATTGATGCCTGGCCTCCACATACACACACACACACAAAGAAGTAGAGGGTTGGTTATGTAGCCTAGTGTGCATGTGACCCTGGGTTCAATACCCAGCCCTGGAGTAAAAAAGAAAACTGAAGATTTTAAGGTCAGTATGGTGATGCAAACACCTGCAATCCCAGAAGAAAATAAGTTTTAAAAGGTTTTAATATTGGGGCCTGTGAGAAGGTTCAACAAGTAAAGATAAGACTGCCAATCCGAGTTGATCCCCAGGAACCACATGGGGGAAGGAGAGAGCTGACTCCTAAAAGTTGTCCTCTGACCTCCACACACACAAATAAATAAATGCAATGAACAAAAATAGTTGAAAATGGACATTGTACTAGGCATACACTGATCAGGTCCTCACACTTACGTGGTAAATGTTTGACCCACCAAGCCTTCTTCCCAGCTCACAGTCTTGATTTGTTTTTCAGATAATTTGATATTGATGTATAGAAATGGTGCTGATTTTTATATGTTGATTTTGTATTCTGCAACTTGGCTGAATTCAAATGCCCAGAACCCACATAATGCCAGAAACAGTAGCAGGCATCTGTATCTTAGAGCTCCTATGACAAGTTAAGAGGAGACTTTCTGGAAAGTCAAAGACCAGCTAGCCTGGCATATGCAGCAGCAAAAACAGAGAAACCCTCTTTCAAACAAAGATAAAGGTAAGAACCAACACCTGAGGTTGTCTTTTGACCTCCACACGTGTGTCTCATATACACACAAAGAAATCAAAAAGGAAACCAATTCTATTTATAATTGCTATTAACAAAAAAAAAAACAAAAACCTATGACATTTAACCAAAGTCAAAGATATTTACAATGAAAATTGTGAAGACATTAATAAAAGAAATTGAGGACACACTCAAAAAGAAAGGCATAACATTCATGAATTGAAAGAAATCAGTGTTGTAAAAAACGTCCATACTTCCCAGACACATTTACAAATCAAGAGCAATCCTTATCAAAACACCAATAGCACTCTCAACAGAAGTAGAAAAACAATAATAAAATTCATATGAGATCATTGGGCCAGAGAGATGACTCAGTAACTAAGGATGCTTGTCACCCAGCTTAAAGATCTGATTTTAATTTCAGGAATCCACATGGTAGAAGACAGAACCAACTCCTCTGCAAATTGTCCTATGATTTCCACACATGCACTGTGGGACACATGTGTATACATGCACAAGTATGTGGATGTACACACAGAGAAAATAAGCACAACGTTCCTACACATAAATCAGAAAAAAATTAAAAAAAAAAACTTCATATGTAATCACAGAAACCCCTGAAAGATACTAGACTCCCATCTCTCATCAGTTACAAAAATCAACTCAAATCGATTCAAAATTTAAATATAAGTCAGGCATGGTGGCACACACCTTTAATCCCAGCACCCAGGAGGCAGAGGCAGGCAGATCTCTATGAATTCGAGGCCAGTCTGGTCTACATGGCGAGTTCCAAGCCAGCTGGGGCTACAAGGAGACCCTGTCTCAAAAAGACCAAAATAGTAACAACAACAACAACAACAACAAAAAAATGTAAAACCTGAAGCAATGACATTACTAAGAAAACAAGTGAAATTCAGACCACTGTAATGGGCAAGAGCTTTTTTGGGTAAGCTCTCAAGAAATAAACAAAAGAGACACATAGGATTATATCAAACTAAAAAGCTTTGCACAACAAAGAAAGCAATGAAGTGAAGAGCTAACTCAGAGAATGGGAAAAAATATTTTCAAATTATGCACCTAAGGATTAATACTGAGAATACATAAAGAACATAATTCAATAACAGGGGGTGGGGGTGGGGGTGCAGATACTAGGAGTTTACTGTCCAGACAAGTCTTATTGAATTGGTGAGCTCCAAGTTCAGTGAAGACCCTGACTCAGAAAAAAAGGAAGAGAGCAACTGAAGAACCTTTGGCCTTCATATTCATGTATACATACATGGACACTGGCATGCACACATGTGCACAAACACATGAATGCATACACACACATACACCATTAACACACACAAAAGATATACAAATGACCAATAGATACATAAAAAGATGCCCACATTACTTATCAGGGAAACACAAAGCAGCTACTATCTCACAGAATGACTATCATAAAAAATAACAATAGATTATGGAGGAAAGGAAACCTTTGGACACTGTTGGCAGGAATGTAAATTAGCATAACCATCATGGAATGTATAAAACAGTTTGGATATTTAAAAAATGACCTTGGGGCTCAAGAGATAGCTCAGTGGGTAAGGGTACTTGTTACTCTTCCAGAGGACCCAAGTCCAGTTCTTAACACCCACATTGGGTGGCTCACAACTGCCTATAACTCCAGCTCCACAGGATCTATTACCCTCTTCTGGCCTCTGCAGGAATCTGCACTCATACACATACCCACATGCAGACACACACAATTAAAAAATAAAAATCTTTAAAAAATTGACCTCCACTAAAAATCTTGCCAATTTAAAGTAAGTTGATAATTAATGGCAAATTTTCATAAACGGAAACTTCTCAAATCATTTTAGGCAAAGCTAACTATAACTCAAATTACTAAACTTTTATTTATAGCTTTATTTCAAAGATGTTCATGATACAGAAGTTACTTCATTATGGTGCTGGTTGGTATATAAATAAAAATGCCCATGCTAACATTTAAAGTAACAATACCTAGCTCTAAATTCAAGAATCTTGGAGAACCAGGTGTAGCTGTTAGCTCTGTCAGTGATTTAAAAATAAAATAAAAGACTAACGGAATCAGAACCTCTTTCCCTCAGTCCCATTTCAAGAGAATTCCAGGAATTTTCTTGGTGAAAAGACACTTTGATCCTGATCCTGCACAGAATTTTGAGCCAAGCTAAGTCTATTGCCTTGTTTTATTCAACTTACTACTAAAACTTCAACTTTAATTCTTCCCAGAAGTAAGATGCTAGAATTTGTATTTAGTTATCATTATCTATCAGAGAAGTCAGAGAAAGCATACACTGGTTGTGACAAGTAGTATTTGCTGGGCTCACTGTCGGTCCTCAGTATCCACAGGTTGTACACCCCGAGAAAGAAGCTGTATCTTTTCTGAACATGTAGACTTTTCTTTGTCATTATTTTCTTCAAAATACAGAATAGCAATGATTTATATTTCTTTTACACTGTAGTAGGTATTAAAGTCATCCAGAGAAAATTTAAAATACAGATAAATGTGCATCAGTTGCATATAAGTATTTTCATTTTATATGGGGAATTTGTCTTTGGACTTTTGTTATAGGCAAGGTCTTGCAACCACTCCCCCATGGACAATGAGACACAACTGTGTGGGAAGCGAGCACAGCTGAGCCAGCCAGATGGCGCCCTGGCTGGCTGCCAAACCTCGTGCTGTTTACTCCAACTCTTGGCTGATTGCCAAGGCTCGAGATTCCCGCTTGTTTACTCCAAAGTATGGAGAGGCCAAATAGGTGCTGCCAGCCTGATGATCTTGCTACGAGCCTATTGAGCTACACTCTGCCTGGCCATTGCACGTGTGTGAGCCCTGATTGGTCCTGGCCTGGGGGAGGGCTGTTGGAAACGCTATATGAACAGCTGAGGTGTGTAATAGAGAAGGACAGCAACAAGGAGACAGCATCATAGTGAAGAGAATATGAGAGAGAATAAGAGAGAATAAAGGAAGAAAAAGAAACAGAAGCTTGAACCTCACCTTGGTGTCTGTGTCGTCTTTCCTGGACTCTGCTGGACAGAGTCCCGGCTCGCGACACAACTGCATTGTTTTATTAGGGAGTTGGCATCCCTTGAATGAGAATGACATTATTGAAAAGAATTATTGTAAAGCAGATTTGATACACATAAAGAAGAAACCAATAACAAAAACTGACCTCAAAAAGGCTGTAAGCAGAATGGCGATTGCCAGAAGTTGGAAAGGTTAGTGGGAGAGAAGGATAGGGAAAGATTGGTCAATCTGTATTAAGGTACAATTAGAAGAAATAAGCTCTGGTGTTCTGCTGCATAGTAGGGTAGCTACAGACAAAAACAATGCACTGAAATTTTTTGAAAGCTAGAAGAAATTATTTTGAATGTTTACACTACAAAAAGACAAATGACTGAGGAAACAGATACGCTTACCCTAATTTGAGTATGACACAATGAACAGAAACACCACGTTACAGTCCACAAACATGTATAATGCTTATGCATCACATTAAAAATCTAATTTAAAAAATGTGAGGGCTGGGGAGATGGCTCAACATATAATGCAGCTGCCATGCAAGCAGGAAGACTGGAGTCTGGATGCCCAGGACCCACATAAATGCCAGGTTTGTGTGGCAGCCTGCATGTAATTCCAGTGTGCGGAAGGCGGAGACCAGGGATTCTGAGAGCAAGCTGGCTAGCTAGCTAGTAGTATTGGTGAGCTCTGGATTCAACTTAGAGACCCTGCCTCACTGAATAAGGTGAAGAACAATCTAAGAAGATTCTCGACATCAACCTCAAATTTCCAAAAGAATGCACACCCATGTGTGTCCATATACATGTGAACAGGCAAACACACACACAAAAATAAAAGTCAAAATACTTGAATGTTATAATTACCTGTCAATACCCATCTTCTTTCTGCCTCTAAGTCAAGTACAGCTTTTGTCTGCTGAGCATTTGGGTTTCGTATGGCATGTCCTTCATCCAGGATCACTCTTAGCCACTTGATGCTATGTAATGGACTATCATCTTTAGTCTGAAATAGATGTTTCATATGAATTCAAAAAGCACAAGAAGTAGCATGGTACTTCAATGTTTAATAATAGTTATCTCTGGGCTGGAGCAATGGCTCAGCAGTTAAGAGTACTGGCTACTATGCATTGCAGAGGACCTGAGTTTGAATACGAGGACCCACACGGTGGCTAACAACTGTCCGTAACTCCAGTTCCAGGGGATCTGAAGCCCTCTTTTGACCTCTGTGGGCATTGCATGACATGGGTGCCCTTATGTATGTGCAAGCAAAACACTCATACACAATAAATAACATATTAAAAAAGTTATCTTTTGAAAAAATTATTTATTCTTATTTTAAGCATATGAGTGTTTTGCCTACATGTAAGTGCTCTTGTGTTGTGCAATGCCCAGAGGTCAGAAGAGGGTGTCAGACCCCCTGGAACTGGAGTTATAGATGGTTACTGGCAGTCATGTGGGTGCTGGGAAACAAATGTGGGTCCTCTGCAGGAGCAGCCTGCTTTTAACCACTGAGCCATCTCTCCAGCCTTAATAGTTATGTTCAATACCAACCCTTACTATGTACCTGGCACTGCTTTAAGTACTACATAGATTAACTTATGAAATACTCACAAGTTTGGAGTATTATTACCTTACAGCTCAGAACACTGAAGAAGAAGACACTAAGTACACTGCACAAAGTATCACTAAGAAGTAGCTAGCTCATACTTAAAAGCCAAAAAAACCTATGACTTATATTAAGTTTCCACTTAATATAATGAACTAGTCTACATCAGATTAAAACAGTGATACAAAATAATCCCTTCTAAGGCATTTTTAATGTAACAACATTGCTTTCTTTTATACAAATGATAATATTCTTACCAGAATACTGAAATCTTAACTATACACAATTTATAAAAAAAAGTATTAACTAAACAGTTAAAATTGTATAGGTAAACCACAGACTCAAAATAGAGCTGGGAGCTTCATTAATTACTACTATAGAAAAAAGTTTATTTTCTT